CAGCAGGCAGGCCTGGGAGGAGGCTGACTTCCATGCCCTACAAGGACTATTGGGGTCTGGAGCATGGTGGTTGCCATGGTGATGGAGAGAAGTAGGTGGATGCCAAGAATGTATGAGAGGCAGAATCTACCATCTTGCCGCTGTGGGCTTTCTATAGGCACCAGGCTGGTCAGACACCCCAGAGGGGCTTGGAATGAGCCCCATGAAGGGTGTTTGGCTGTCTGCACCTGGGTGTGTCCTGCTGCAGGCATGAGTGAGCATTGGGTGAGGTCATGGCGGATGGCTTGGCCTGAGGGAGCCAGAGGCAGGGCTGCTGGCCTTGCGTTCTCAAAGGACAGGTGATTGCAGCAGCCACAGGTGGGACAGGTGATGGTGAAGGAGGAACACATCTCGGGATGCACCCTGGGAATGAGCATCAGGGAAGCCACCACCACACCAGGCACATGACAGGCCCCAGCTCTGCCCCATTCAGGCCCTACCTCCATCCAGGCTCACCCATGGGGTTCGGAAAGATGCGGTCCTGAGTGTGGAGAGGGGCCTGGAGGCCTAGCCTTGTAGGAAACCAGAGCCTGGAGCAGAGAAGGTCTCAGGGAACTTGTTGCTACCCCATGTTTCTAGAGGGTGCTCTGAGTGCCAGTGTGGCAAGTGGGTCTGGGCCCCGAGGACAGAGCCAGGACCCTCAGGGTAGCCATGGGAAGCCGACCCCAGCTCCCAGTAGGAAAGAGCTTTGTCAGTCTCGGCTGCCTATGTGAGCAGAAGCTGGCCACTGCCCCCTCCATCTGGCTGACCTTGTGAAGTGCCTTCCAGCTCTGAGATCCAAGGAGAGCCCAAGAGGGCGGAACCAACCTTTCTTGGAGGCTCAGGGGTCATTCCTTGAAAAACATCTTCACTAGGAGGGAGTTGAGTCCCACATCCTCCAATTATGCTCCCATCCAGCCAGCCCACAATGGGTCGCTCAGATAACCATCGGGGGTTGCACAAATTAACACTGGAACAATGCTGGCTGCTCAGGCTATTTTTACAGTAGCCATACGCCCGGCTGAACCCCCGCGTCGCCCCGAGGGAGCAGGGCAAAGAAAGGCCATGCGGATGCCGCCACCAGTCTGTGCTCTGGGAGACAGAGGAAGGGCTCAGCGAGCCGCCCGGCGGCTCCAGGAAGCCTTTTCTTGGTCTGCTCACCACCAGATAGCAAAACAATTGGGGTCCCCCACCCCGAGCCAGGGAGAGGAAGGAGGTGTGGGGGAAACAGGGGTTCTGTTATGCTTTTGTGCCTCTGCTCCTCAGAGCACGGCCCCTGTGGGCCTAGCTTCTGGTGCCAGGCCAACACGTCCCCTCTACACACCCTGGTCCTCGGGCAGCCCCGCCTCCACCTTGCTCTGCCTTGGATGGCTTTCTGGGCCAAGCAGCATGGAATGCAAGGCTCTGAGGCCCAGTGACTTGCCGAGACCAGTGCTTGGGAAGTGGCCGAGCTGGGGTTCACACTTAGCACCGACTGCTTGCAGATCCCACTCTGGGAACCATCTACCCCACGGTCCTTGCTTGACGACCGGCTCTGGGCAGATGGGTCCTTGTCCCTATGGAGGCACAACTCTAGTTGAGGAGGAGGCAGTTAACAAGGAAGCAAGGACATGAATCAAGACATTTTCAGGTAGTGCCAAGCAGTTTGACAAGACAGACGGAGATGCCCACTGAAGATGTCCTGTGAGCTTGGTGAGCTGGCCCAGGGGTGCCCATGGGAGGGGGCCACACCTGGTCCTGCTGATGGTTGCCAAAAGGAGTGTGAGCTAAACATGGTTCGAGCTTCCAGTTTTTCACGAGAACCTAGAAATTTTGACTTTTCTCTGAAATCTGATATTTTCAGTGTTGGCCACCAATTTGGATCATGAAGACAAGTTGTGGCCCAGGCTGCTTGGCTCTGAGCCGGTCTGCAGGTGGAGAAACAGGCTCAGAGAGGGGTGGGCAGGCCCACTGGTGCTGGTCCTCCAGTGCATGTCTTCTGTGGTGCTCCGCCACAGAGGGGTAAACCCTTGAAGGCACCCTCTCTCCCCAGGCTGGGACTCATGATACTCTTGCCCTCAAGGCTGAGCTACCAGGAAGAGTGAGAACTCCAGATGAGGAGGTACTGAAAGAAGAGGCTCTACCCTGGCTGGGGGCAGATGTCCTCTAGAATGGGGTCCAGGCAGGGGGTGGGCTGAGAGTGACCACAGACAGCTCCTGGAAGCTTAGGGATTTGACCTCCTTTGGGGCCTTGCATTGCCAAACCCATCAGGAGTCAGAGGACAGGGGACCTGGATGACACAGGGGTCGGGGCAAGCCAGAGAACGGATGGAGAGTGGTGAGCCAGGGAGATTAACTGGCTTTCTTACATAATCCTCACCAGGGCAAATCCCTGCTTTTTTATGCTGTAGGGATGTGGCTGGTTAATTGCAAATATCTTTCATAAACATCCATTCTCCATACTTTGATGGAAACCCCATTTTCAAATATTGTTTCCATTCCAGGCTGAAACCCCATTCCTCATTCATTCGGTGTTTATCCATTCCTTAAACAGTTAGGCGCAGGCCTCTCCCGTGCGCCAGGCACTGTGCTGGCTCATGAGTGAAATGGAAGCCGTCGTTTCCTACGCAAATCCGAAATTGAGAAATAGTATCCATTTCTAGAAAATTCAGGCAGGTGTTATTTGGCGGTGCCTTAGAGGTGCCTGGGTGTGTCATATTTGGAAGAGGTGATGCCAGGCCAGGGGTGGCTTCGTGCTTATCTGCCTGCAGGTGCAGGATGAGGTGTGACATTCAAGGACAGCAAGCATGGGTCCCCAGTGCTTCTCTCAGCAGTTGCTCAAGAGAAGGAATCTGTCAATTTCTGAATCATTAGGTCTCTGCTTGCCTAGAGGGGGTCTGACTCGCTCGGGACATTGTCAGATCAGTGGCCAGTCAAGGGGATGGCAGGCCCCCTGCCACAGGTCTGGGCAGGTCAGAGCCAGCCCGTGGGTGAGAAGGGAGAGGTCGTGTTGAAGACACACAGGCTATTTACCAACCGCACATGGGGTTCTGTTTTGTCCCCACAGAAAGCGAGGAGGAGATGGCCACCAAGGAGAAGCTGCAGTGTCTGAAAGACTTTCACAAGGACATCCTGAAGCCGTCCCCCGGGAAGAGCCCGGGCACGCGGCCCGAGGACGAGGCTGAGGGGAAGCCCCCGCAGAGGGAGAAGTGGTCCAGCAAGATCGACTTTGTGCTCTCCGTGGCTGGTGGCTTCGTCGGTTTGGGCAACGTCTGGCGTTTTCCGTACCTCTGCTACAAAAATGGTGGAGGTGAGTCTAGGCTGGGCAGAGAGAAGGGGGTGGCCTCTTGTGACCTGTTCTCCCTAGTCCCCACCGTGACCTCCCTCAGTCAGCCTGCTGCACCCTTGCCCCGCCCCTCCCCACCTCAGAGGCAGGAGAGGAGCAAGCCTGGGAATCAGCTGGTGTTCTGTCGGGGTCTTACTGTGCTACCTTGAGAAGACCCCTTACCCGCTGCGATCCTTCAGTTTGCCATCTCTGAAGAGGAGTGATGAGGCCATGCCCCTGTCCCCAAACCTCCGACACTCACATGCTCCCTTCATAAATTCCCTCTTATCTTCATGCCTCCCAGCTCCTTACATTATATCTTTTCTAATATTTACTTTGGCTTTTCTAACTTAAACCAAACATAGTTCAAAAGCAAGCTTCGTTTCCCCCATAAATGGAAAACCAGTATCATTTGCCATAATGGAAAGGTATCCAGGAAAAAAAAAATACAGTGAAGATATTTTTTATTTTTATTTTTTAATTCAAAAGTTTTTTTCCAGTTTTATTGAGATATAATTGACGCATAACCTTGTAATAGTTTCAGTTGCAAACATAATGATTTGATGTATGTATATATTGCTAAATGATCACAATAAGTTTAGTTAGCATATGTCACCTCAGTTATACATTTTTTTCTTGTCATGAGAACTTTGAAAATTCCTCTCTTAGCAACTTTCAAGATTAGCCCAGTATTATTAACTGTAGTCACCATGCTGTGCATTCCACCCCCCCCCCCCCCCCCCCCCCCCCCCCCCCCAAAAAAAAAATCTTATACTGGGTACTTGTACCTTTTTAACACCTTTACTCATTGAAGATATTTTTTAAATGTAAGGTCTCTGGTTGGTTCCAGTTTTACGTTTTGGGGCTTTTTTGTTTGTTTTTTATAATTCTCACTTGAGGATATTTTTTTTCCCATTGATTATTTTAGAGAGAGTGGAAGGGAGGGAAAAAGACAGAGAGAGAAACATTGATGTGAGAGAGACACATCAATTGGTTGCCTCCAGCACGTGCCCTTACCAGGGCCGGGGATTGAGCCTGCAATCGAGGTATGTGCCCTCGACCAGAATCGAACCTGTGACCCTTCAGTCTGTGGGCTGATGTTCTAACCACTGAGAAAAACCGGCTGGTTTGGGGGTTTTGCTTTTTAAACCTGAGGGCTCTGAGCTAGAGTCCTCTCCTGTCGGAATGTCCAGGTCGGCAGCACGTGCTGACATACTGGGGGCTTTCTGGCTGTGCAGTAAGAGCGGCCTGATGAGAACTGGGTAGGGAGAACTGCCCGTAATTGAAGGCTTACCTGTCAGCAGAGATGGGCGTGCTGCCTACAGCCTGCGTTAGGAGAACTACCTTCCGGGAAATTCTGCCTTAGAGTCTGGTTTCTTAACCTTTTGTAGGTCTCAGGCGCCTTTGGGACTCTGATGAGTGTCCTAGACGCTCCCCAGAGCAAAGCGCATACACATAGACCCAAGTTGCCCACAGTTTCAAAGGGTTTATGGACCCGCTGAAGCCATTAGTGGACACCAGGTAGGAACCCTTGCCCCGACTCCTTGCCCCTCACTCCTGCCCTGGCTCCCACCCCAGCTGGAGGTAACCACCTCTTGCTTCTCATCACTGTACCCTTCTTAGCTAGTCTGTCTCAGCTTCCTGCCCTGGGTAGGCCTGGGAACAGGCAGGTGAAGGCTTCAACAAGGAGGTCCTATTTGAGATGGGTCCTAAGGGCTGAGCAGTGCTTATTCAGATGGAGGATGTGGGGAAGGCAGGCGGCAGTCGGCACAGCTTAACTGGAGGCCCCGAGGCTGAAAGCACCTGGTAGATTTGAAGAAGGTGAGAGGGCACACTGGAAAGGTGATGCCTGCTGGGCAGGATCTGCAGAATTTTCAACCACGCCCAAGGGTTTAGCCTGTACCCTCACGTCCCTCACTTGTTCTATCTGGTTCCATTGGCTGGGAGGGCTTTGGAGCAAGCACCTGCAGCCTTGCCCCTGTGACAGCCCAGTCTGACCCTCACCCCACTCTGCTCTCTCCACAGGTGCATTTCTCATACCGTATTTTATTTTCCTGTTTGGGGGCGGCCTGCCTGTGTTTTTCCTGGAGGTAATCATAGGCCAGTACACCTCTGAAGGGGGCATCACCTGCTGGGAAAAGATCTGCCCCTTGTTCTCTGGTGAGTATGGGACAATGGTCACCCGGGGCCTGGTGTTCATCGGTTCAGCAAATTTATTATTGAGCACCTGCTGTTTGCCAGGTACATCGAAGCCTCATGCAAGTCACTTGGTGCTGTGTCTAACACAGGGTAGCAGCCAGTACATGATACGGGCGATGCTGCTCACAGTGACTGCTCAATACGTACTGGCAGTTCCCACCTCTCTGGGTTGTTGAAGGCTAGAGAAGCTAGTAGCTGCTTAGCAGTACAGTGCAGAAGATAAGCACTCGGATTCAGGGGCCTTGCTGTCTGGGTTCAATTCCCTCCTCCTCTTGCTAACTCTTGTGACTTTGGGAAAGTTCATTAATCATTTTGTGTCTCAATTTCTTCATCTACAAAATGGAAACGATATGCCTTCTTCATAGGGTTACTGCTACTAATAGTCACATAAAAATGCTTTGTCCACATAGTAAGCCCCAAATTAATGGTAGCTTTATTATTATAACATTTAGTCCTTTGTCTAGTACCTAGTATGCATTCATAACACTGTTACGATTATAATTGGCAAAGATGGGAGGATGTATGTCAACTTAGTCATCCATATAAATCTATCCATATATGATCCATCAAACCTTTCTTCATTAACTAGTCAATTTAGTTAGATTATCCATCCACTTGTCTACCCATCACCTATCTACTCATCTACCCATTCATCTATCTACTCATCTACCTAACCTTCCAGCCAGTCCCCAGCCATGCATCCATCCAACAAACCAAATTTCCATCCATCAATCCAGCATCTCCCCATTCGGCTCTCTATCGGTCCATTTAACCACCCATCTAACCATTGATCCATCTAACCATCCATTCGTTGGCCTATCCACCTGCATGCATTCTTCAATTCGTCCAAGGATCCCATTTATCTAACCAGTCCACAAATATTTGCTGGTCACTGTTGAAGGCCCCCTGGGAGTGCCAAGGCCTTCCATTTGAGTGTGTGGACACAGGGGTCTGGCCTTCCTGCTGATGCTTATCCTGCTTGTCCACACCCACAGGCATCGGCTATGCCTCCATTGTGATTGTGTCCCTCCTGAATGTATACTACATTGTCATCTTGGCCTGGGCCACCTACTACCTGTTCCAGTCCTTCCAGTCGGAGCTGCCCTGGGCGCACTGCAACCATACCTGGAACACACCCTACTGCATGGAGGACACGATGCGCAAGAACAAGAGCCTGTGGATCACTCTCAACACCAGCAACTTCACCTCCCCTGTCACCGAGTTCTGGGAGTAAGGCCAGCTTCACTAAGGAAGGAGGGAGGGCCTGGGTGGGGGCAGAGAGGACAGCCCACTCCCTCATCTTCTCCCCCGCGATGTGGGAGTCAGTGTCTTGGGATGGGATCGGGGAGAAGTTGGGTACAGATTTGGAGATAAATCCATGCCTTTGGTCTCAGATAGGCCTGGAAGCGAGTCCCGGTTCTGCCATTTTACTGGCTGTCTGACCTTCAGCAAGTCTCTGCCCCTTTCTGAGCCTCAGTTTCTTTAACTGTCAAATGAGGGGAATGAATCGTTCCAACACCCATGGGATGTCTATGAGGAATTTTTCCCCCAAAGGCAGGTATTTGTACTTAAATTGCCTGAAAATAATAGTTTTCTTAATGTATTTTAGAAGAAACATAGTTAGCATATCAAAACTATTATTGCACAGAGAAAAATTCATATATGAAGCTGAAGTAGTAGTTAGTCAAGTTAAAAGGTGAGTAGAGAGAATAAAAATTATGTGTTAGTTCGCTTTTGCTGTGTAACAATCATCCCCAATGCAGTGGCTTTAAGCCACAACCATTTATTTGGCTCAAGGTTTTGTTGATTAGCAGTTTTGGCTGAGCTTGGCTGGGAGGTTTTTCTGGTCTTTGCTGGGCTCCCTCATGGGTAGATCAGCATCAGGGTAGCTCTTCTGGGCATTGGCTACCAGGGTCCATATGGTCTCAACCCCCAGCAGGCTACCCTGAGCGTCGTCAGAGGCCGCTCTTCATTCCAAAGCAGCCAATGGGAAAGTTGCATCGCAGGAGCACTCTTTAAGCCTCTGCTTGTATCATTTTTGTTAATGTCCCATTGGCCAAAGAAAGCCACAGAGTCAAGCAAGAAGTGGAGAAATAGGTTCTGCCTCTTTATGAGAGGAGTGGAGAATTATGGGCACGCCTCCAGTTTACCACACGGTTGTCAATAAGAGAACACACGTAGGACACACATCAGAAAGGCAGAATGTGAAGGGGCTTGATGTTTGGGTACCTCTTAGCTGATATATAGGAAAGTTCTTCCAAGACATTCCTTGAAGGCCAATTAAAAATATATTCGTGCATCGCTCTTCACGAGCAATTAAATGTGGGGCTCAGCACTTGGGTGCGGCCCCCCTCTATCTGGAAATAGCTGAGATAAGGCCTTGCAGGAAGCGTGAGAGCCAGGAGCAGGGAATGCCGTTAAGGAAGCAGGTGGACCCTAATCATCACGAGATGATACTCCCTCTCTTTTGTGTGTGGCTGCCCACCTCTTAGAACCTGGCCCAGGAACAGAAGAGGGAGTTGCCTGATGCTTGGTCCCGGGCATACTTTGGGGCCGGGGCTGGGAAATAATAGGCAAGGTTAGTCAGTCCTTCCTCGGGTGGTGCACGTCCCTGTCATGACACGTGGGCCTTTCAGTATATGCCCCCGTCCCTGGGGCTCTTTATGTGCACATATTTTCCACTTGCAGACAAAGAGGGCATTACAAGCACATTCATCACCCCCTCGGCTCCCGCCCCCGGGAGAGCTGAGTTTACAAAGAAACGCTGCACTTCATTCTTCTCACTTGAATGGGGCCCGAGACCACAGCCCTGTCCGCTCTCTGCAGGGCCTGCCCCACCCAGGACGTGGCACTCAACCAGCCACTTGGGCGCCTGCTGGGACCTCATTGCCTCAGGCACGGATTGGCTGCCTGGGCTCCAACCCCAGCTCTGCCGCTTCTAGCCTGGCCAGGCACCTTGGCCTCTCTGGACCTTCATGTTCTCACCTGTACCTGGAGAGATTATAGCACTGCCCTCCTAGGGATGGCGGGTCGCCCTAACTTGAGACCATGACAACATGCATGATAAATATGGGCCATTGTCATTTATTTTGTGTCCTCATAGGGGTTAGAACTGCTCCTTGGGGGCATTTGGAACTCTAAGTGAGACAGCCTTCAGAAGGACTAAGAATGGCCCCTCTCAAATGCCCATATTGTCCCCCATATTGCAAAGGGGTTCCTCTTTGCTCACCTCCCTGCCGCTATAAACCTGAGGGTTCTTGCGAAGATGCTCACGTGGGCGATGAGGTCCTCAGGGTTTCCAGTCCTCACCCATCCCTTCTCCCCTGCCTGCCCCCCAGACTGGGCCCTCCCGGGGGCTTCTAGGTCTCTTGTCTCCCAGAGTCTCCATTCTGAGTGCCCCAGCCCCCCTTCCTGACAGTGTTCATCTATGCAAATGTCCTGGTCCCGCAGGCACCTTCCCACGCCCCACAGGACATGCTCAGTCCAGACCGTTCTGGCCACCTGCCTGATGCTCCCTTCCCACTCCAGCCTTCGCACCCGCTCCTCCTGGTTCCAGCAGAGCTTTGTAAGCCCCCCTGAGCATCCATAAACAATGTGCCCTCTTTCTAGAACACAGGAGGACTGGAGTCCACAGAGGAGGAGCCTAGAAAGCAGGTTTAGGCATGAGGACCCAGCCTGCTCCTGTGTGAGCAGAGGCCGAGGCCAGCGAGCGGGGCCGGGGGCTCCATCAGTGCCGCCCTGAGTCAGGCACAGTGGATGAGAAGGGCCTGGCTGCCTGCCTTCAAGAGCCTTCCATTCTCTTGGTCGTGAAAGAGGGGAGAGAGCACTAATGTGGAATGATTGACTCCCATGAGCATCGTGCCAGGGACTTGCCCCCACCTTTCATTTCAACTTTGCAGAGGCCCTCTAAATGGGGTAATTCGTAAACCGCTTTCTGCCTCAAATCCCACATTAACTCGCAGGTCCTCTTGGATCTCCCCTGAAAGTACATTCAGAGCCTGACCACCCTCCCCACTTACACTGCACCCCTCCTCCCTCCCCCATGATCGCTCTCTCCAACCCCAGCACTGGCCTCTCACTGCGGTCCCTGCCTTGCCCTTGCATCTCTGCAGTCAGTTGTGAATCTAGACATGTCATTTCTCAGCTCGTAGTCCTCTCATGGCCTTTCCCACATGGTGCTCTCCCCCAGCCAGAGAGGGTTTTAAATGTTTCAACACAGCAAGTGCTCACTGACGGCTGGTTCTTACTAATTGCACATCTGCATCCACTTGATTGTAGCCTGGGGCAGCACCTCTCTACCCCTCTCTGGCCTCATTTCCCATCTGCAAATGGCTGTCCGAGCTGGGCTTTGAGGGATGGGTAGAAGCTCACTAGGCTGAAAAAGAGAAAAGACATTTGGGCAGAAGGAAAGCACGTGGCTGTTTTGGGAACAGCAAGTCATTGGTTGGGCCAGAGCATAGGACGCATGGAGCCAGGGAGAAGGATTGAAGCCTTGAATGTTAGACTAAGTTTGAATCTGTTTTCTGGACATTGCTTAAGCAACACACTGTGGGGAGAAAAGCTGAGATGTGTATTAAGCACCGACTGTATACAGGGTCTCAGGGGGCTTTGGGATGAAATTTAGCATGTGTGATTTCCCCTGAAAATAGCCACCAGCTCCATAGTGACTAGCCTCGAGGTTTTCGTTGAGAAAGGCTTGCTGGGCTTTATTGAGGTGTCACTGGCTGGTACCGCTGTTGGGCTGCAGAGCAGTGAGGCTCTCTCGGAGGCTGGAGTCCATGCCCCTTGAGGTGAAGCCCAATCCCAGCCATTGTTTCCCTTCACTCCTCTGACCAGCCCCAGACGCGTGGGTCCCTGAGCTGTCTGTTCCTTGGGCAAACGATTCCTGCCAGGTGCTCAGGAGCTCCCCAGGAATCCAGATAACAAGGCACCGTGGGACCTGATACTTCCTCCGGGCCCTGGACAGAGGGACCCTGTCGATCATCCCTGCCCCCTCCAGTGTTACTAGAGGGGAGAGTAGAGAGCAGTGGGGAGACGGACTGCGACTCCCACATGTCCCAGCTGCATGTCCTCGGGGCAGTCACCTGTCCAAACCTCAGCGTTAGCGTGGTCCCAGACCTCACAGCCGGACTGGAGTGTTAAAGAAGCTAAGCCAGAGCTCTGGGCATGGTTTCTTGGATAGGACACTGAGGACCAGGGAGGCTGAGCAACTGGCCAAAGGCGACTCTGCAGCTAGAGTTCCCAGCTCTGACCTCAGACGCTGGATGCCACCTCCAGTGTCTGTGCGTTCATCAGCTGTAAGTCCACAGTCACAGGTAACACTGAGCCGGGTGTGTGTGTGTCCCCCCACACTGAGGTTATGCATGGGGTGTTCTCTTGGCCCGGATCCCCCATGCCCACCCCATCTGCAATGCTACAGCACCATGCTCAGCAGGAGCCAGTGGGATGCCCTTTACCAAGTCCCTGTGCAAGCCACCTGGGCCCCCGAGACAGTCATTACCCCTGGCTTTGTAATTGAACTCCGAGTCCCTGTGTGCTGGGGGAGCAGAGCTTCTTCCCCCCATCAGCGTCAGCTTCGTCCTGCTCACCCCTGCTCTGGGCTCACCTCTGTCCTCAGGGTCCTGCTTCCCCTCAGCCCTGGAAGACAGGCGGGGCCAGGTCTAGCCAAATGCCCTTCATCAGGCTGGAGCCATGCCTTCCTCCCCGAGTCCTCTGGGAGCTCAGCACGTATCATTAGACTTTATTAGAATCAAAGAAATGAGTCATATTTGCAAACAAGCCCTGCTCAGCCAATCTTCCCCTGCAGCTGTGAGGAGGGGGAGGCGGGGGAGCAAGCCTTGTGTGGCCCCATGCTTAGGGCGGACGGGCTCTTTTATAATTGTTGCTTCCATCAGTCTCCAGGGAAGAGCCATCGCCAATAAATGGCTGGCCGGCAGTCAAAAGGAAACGATTTGGCCCACTCGGAGGACGTATTTACATCTCTGAGTGCCGGCTGGACGGCAGCAGGCTGGCCGACTCAAAACAGACGTCCAGGCAATTCTTTTTTGGATCCCACCCTGGAATGAATCATTACTATTCTTGGACAAGAATGCAGCTCACCTCTGTATCTCCTCCCTTTGTATGAGAGACGCAGGGAAGTTTGGGGTGCTGGGGACCCTCGTGAAGGGCAGTGTAGGACCCAGCACACTGGTGGCTGGTCCCCAGGGTGGCATCAAGGAAAAAAAAAATAGGCCCAGGATTGATTCTTATCTGGGTAATTTCAGGTGAATTCCTGGATCTCTCTGAGCCTCAGTTTCTGCATCAATTAAACGGGAATAATTAATTTACTCAACTAATGTCTTGAGCACCTACTATGTGCCAGGCACTATTCTGGATCCAGCAGTGATCAAGACAGACAGACACAGGCCCTGCCTCCGTGGAGATGTCATTTTAGTAGGACAGACAGACATTAAACAGATACCACAAATCAAATTATAATAGAAACGCGGTGATAAATGATGGAAAATAAAGCCAGGGCAGGGGAAGGAGAGTGACCAGGGATGTTTTTTACATAAGATGACCAGGAAAGACTGCCCTGGCATTTAAACAGAGACCTGAAGGGGGGTGGGGCGAGGGAACAGCCAGTTCAAAGATCCTGAGACAAGAGCATGCTCCACCTATCCTGGGAACATTCCAGAGGCCAGTGTGGCTAAAGGAGGAAGTGAAGGGGCCATATGGGGATGAGGTTCGAGATGGGACCACCCACAGCTTGTCCTGGATGTGTCCCCTTTATACCGTGGTCCTGGTATCATCAGTAGTCACCACCCTCCTTTTTTAAGGTGTCTGGGTCTAGATGATAGAGTATTTGGTCACATTCGGGGAGGCAAACAGGACTAGGGCAGGTTGGGAGGGTGTTATTGGGTAGGTGGGTAGGCGCCCTGGAGGATGTAGAGCAGGGGAGGCATAGCCTGACTCAGGTATTGCCAGATCAATGAGAACAAACTGGGGACTGAGAGTGGAGGCAGAAGGACTGCCTGGTAGCTGTGGGGGGGAGCGGGGGGAGAGGCAGTGTTGGGGAGATGTGGCAAGATTTGGGGTAACCTGTTTAGCCTGGTGTGGTCAGGGGGCACCTGTGAGGGGCAGTGCACCATGGCAGTCCCTCTGGGGCATGGCACTGCCCGCAGCACGGGGAAGGCCCAGCAGATCCTGGTCTGCGTTGTGGCTGAGGCCATGGGGGTCTGACAGGGAAGGGACTTGTGGAGGATCCTTTAAACTGGATTCTCTCAGAAAGGGATTCAGATAGACCCACTCACGTTCCGGCCTCCACAGCTACCCTTGAGATATCCTTGGACAGGATGTCAGTCACTTTGGCCCAAGCCCATGTCGGGCTCTGTTATGACAGCCTCTGATTGATGAGACATATTTATTCCATTCCTAGAATGTCTGCACAGCCCATTACAAACATTTTCTAGAGTTTAATAATTTGTATAAAGGTGAAATGTGCACATTAAAAACATTCTGACAATGAAAAATATATCTGATGCCACGCGAGTCCCCTTCCCCCGCATCCCCACCACCGGGACCCCTCCCCACCGGCAGCGACACAACCAGCATCTTGTATGTCCTGGCAAAAGTGCGTGTTCAAGCACAAGGCGCTTTGGACCCCATGGGGAGCAGGCCATACGCTGTTCCTCACCTTGCTTTGTTCACTGTTTATCTCAGGAGGGAGCTCCTAGCCAGGGCCCAGGAGCTTCCCGCTGTCCCCTGGGCTGCACAGCATTCCAGTGGCTTCGTGCCTGCTCTGACCCTATTGTGGCCATTTGGGTGGTTTCCAATTTTGTTTATCTTAATAAACAGTGCTGTGGGGTGGGCCTGCCTTTGGACACACATGCGAGTAAAACCGTACAGAGAGAGACTCTTGGGAACAGAATGGCTGGGTCCGAGCAAACATGCCTTAGGGTGTCACTGGAGGCAACGAGATCCTGCAAGGAGATGGCCACCAGGAAGGGTAAAAGCAAGTTATGACTCGGTTTCGTGGTTGTGGCCTGCCTAGCCGGTCATTGCCCAGAGCAAGCCAATGTGGGAGCCTCTCCTTCGTGGGGGGCAGTGGTGGGAGGAGACAGGAAGGTGTCAGTAAACTGGCTTGGGCACCTCTGGTTTTCCCGGATGGTGGTGGGAGGAGACAGGAAGGTGTCAGTAAACTGGCTGTGGGCTTGGTCAGCATCCCGGCTCCCAGGTTTCAAGCTTCTTGGCCAACTTGCCCTTAAGGAGAGAAGAAAAAGCCGTCTTATGACTGGGCACCTCCTCAGCATTAGCTGAGCACCTACTGTGTGCCTGTCTGTGAGGTTCTTGTCTTAGGAGCGTCTAGAATCTGATAATCAAGCCAGACTTGTCACCCCGGGTGACATCCAGTGTGAGAGGACAGCCGGGGACCCGCCTAGTCATCTGTGGAGCACAGGGAAGGCTTCTCTGGGAACAGGCGACGGTGTGCTTGGCATTGGAGAGGGAGCCACGGTGTGGAGATGGAAAAGTGCTCTCCCCGCCGCTGCCCATTCACAAGGAAGTCTTGGGCCACTGCCCAGCATGCCCTGGGCCTTCATTGAAGGACCGAGCTCTGGAGTCTGCCCGGGGAATGGCTTTTTGTTCTAAAGCTGCTGCGGCCGCCAGATCCACGTGCTTGGCAGGGCCCCAGCTGGGATGCAGTTGGCCGCCAGCCCTGCCTTATGGAGATGTCCATGTTCCAGGTGACCCCGGCCAGTAGCAGGGACTGGGGAGATTCTTTTGAAAGTTTAGGCTCTATTTTCTCTGTGAATCAGAGGGACAGTTAGGTGGAGTCCAGAGGACACTGGCTTTGGGAGTCAGACGAGCCTGGATATGGGGTGGCAGCTCTGCCCCCTGTTGGCTGTGTGTCTGTGGGCAGTGGGGTCCTCCAAGCCTTGCTTTCCCATCGGTAAAGGGGGGCAGATGACCTCTAGGCCCTGGGTCAAATGAGATAAGTAGGAAAGGCCTTGCTGGTATTACCACTGGGAGGTCCACTGATGTCGAGGTGACCAGCAAGGAACACACAGAGGAAAGCTGCCCCTTCTTAAGATTTGTTCGTGGAAATACTCTGTGGATTAGTCCAGAGTGACATGCAAACTTCCCATTCACCGCAGTTAAGTCCTTCCATTCACTCCATACGTGTTTATTGAGGCCCTCATATATGCCACATGCTGTTCTAGATGCTGGGGGCACAGCACAGAAAGATCTGGCTTGGATGTTAGCTGAGCGGGAATTTTGGATTTATTCAGGGTCCTCACGTTGGAGCTTCTGTGGGGACATAAAAGGAGCAATGAAACTGTCCCAGAGCCATGGCCATGGGGCCATCCCACAACTGGCTGAGGCTAGGGGTGGTCTGCAAGGCTTTCCCAGCGGCATCCTGGGCAGGTGCCATTCATGTTTTACAAATGAGGAAACGGAGGCACGAAGTCACACTCCTCTCTCTGCCTCCCCTGCTTAAGAGTGGCCTTCAGATAGGGAGCTGACTTTCATTAGAAGGAACCCAGCATCTCCCAGGGGGGAGTGAGGGCTCTGTCTCGCAAGCTCCGTGGCCTGGAGATTTGGTGGGCAGGTGACTCCAGTGGGCTGGTGGGCAGGGCCCATGTCCCTTTGCTCAGCGTGGCTGCCCTTGGTCAGTACTGCAGCAGTCAGAGCTCTGGGACAATGGGGACATTTCTGGGCATTAAGTTGAATGGTCTTCTCTGCCATCAGCACCCTGTGCTGCCCTGCCCTGGCTTCAGGTGGCACCTGCCCCTTAGGAGTGTGTCAGTGAGTAGTTGCTTGTGTGCGTCAGCGAGGTTCTTGGGTTGCAAAAATCCAGGCTGTGCTGTGTGCTGCTGGGCAGGGCTGGTGGCTGCCCCGTGCTGATTGTCCTCCAAATGGTCTGCCTGCCTCCTTTCGAGACCTTCGGCCCCTGGAAGGGAAGGGGGAACCTGCTTAGGTGCCAGGAGCTGCTCTGGGCCTCTCAGCATCACGACAGCAACAGCTCAGGTTTCTCGAGGGCTGGCTGCAACCCTGGCCCTGTAGTTAGCACTTCGTGTGGGCTTCTCCTAACAACAATCCATGCAAGGCGGTGGGTAGGTGTTCTGCAGCCACCGGTGGAATACTCTGTCCCCCTGAGGCTTACATTTTAGTGAGAGATCCAGATAAGAAACGGGCGAATAAAATAAAAGAGGCATGGGGCAGCTGCTGGGGGATGGTAGCTGCTCCCATTTTACAGATGAGACTGAGGTCTGGGAGGTTGGGTAATGAGCCCAAAGTCAGTGATTATATGGTAGAGCTGGGGGTTTTAACCCAGAGCAGAAAGGTCTGCTGAGAACCAGTCACATAGGAATCAGTACCCATTTTACAGATGAGGAAACTGAGGCTTAGGGGTTTGCTTAACTTGCCCGCGGTCAGGCTGGGTTGAACCCAGGTTCACCTGACTTCGGGGTCTAAGTTCATCTCCTGGTTGACTTCCCCACAACTCTGTGACGAGGTTGTTAACTATTTCCCGGGGATTCCAGGGCCTGGAGAGGACATGTGACCTGTGCAAATCAGCACATGATCTAGGATTTGAACCCCAGACCTTGGCCCAACTGACTTGCGGTTCTGTTTGCTTCAAGGCGCAACGTGCTGAGCTTGTCTTCTGGAATCAACAGCCCCGGATCACTGAAGTGGGACCTTGCTCTCTGCCTTCTTTTCGTGTGGTTGGTCTGTTTCTTCTGCATCTGGAAAGGCGTCAAGTCCACGGGGAAAGTGAGTTGTGCTCCTGTCCCTCCTCCTCTCCCTCCCCTGCCTCATGGAGAGCGGCCCTCGCCAGAGAGCACCTTCCGCCCCACAGTCCTTCCTGCCCGAAACTGGCCCTGACCTGGGAGGGGGTGCGGGCTGATAAACCAGTCCTCGAAAAACAAGTAAAGCCCTGGTTTGTAGCATTCCCTCATTTGACGGTATAAAGACTCCCCCATGTCTGCTTTCAAGTTATTGAAAGCAGCTCGTGAAATTCCTGCAAATTGAACCATCAGTACAGCCACCTGCACAAGCTCCGACACACCGCTGGTTCCCCCAGTAGAGCAGATGTTAGCGGATAACTGATGTTGAGGTTGTAACTGATAAGTTAGCTGGTAATGAGGTTCTCTGCAGCTCTGTTGTTAATAACCAGTTCTTAATGGACCCTTGCTTTGCAAAGTCCCCTGACCAGCACATCAGCACCCCCCCCCCTTCCAGGAGCTCGTTAGATATGCAGACCCTGTGGGCCTGCCCTGGGCCTACAAACTCAGAACCTGCACTAGAGCAGTAGCCGACATAATCCAAATGCAATTGAGGGTCGATAAGCACTGATTTTTGCTGCTTAGTCAAATTAACTGAATTACCTTTCCAAGAACATTTTAGCTGGTAACTTAAGATGTTCCTTAAGGAATGCTTTCACTGATGATTAAGATGGTTGTTATTTATCAGAACATTAGCTGTAACTGAGCTGCTGCTGATTAATACGTTACATGATGACTAGGATGTTAGCTATTAACAAAGGCGGGGGTGGGTAATTAAAACAGTAGCTTATAATTCAGATTTTAGGTATACACAGATATATCTTGGCAATAATGAACATGTTAGCCTATAACTAAAATGTTCTGTGTGAACAGAGCTGAGCAATCACCTGCTATCTGCCTGGTGTCATGGCCGCTCTAATGACAACGTCAGTGCAGAGGGTCTGTTGTGGTCAGAGGTTCGAGCCTGAACCCCAGGCACGAAGCCGTAGCGAAGGTGTTGGCTTGATCTGCCTTTACGTGTCCATCTACCATTGCCCCCCACCCTCCATCGTTTGCATCTTGGTAGGGAGAACATCTCTAAGATCAAAAGCCCCCACAAGTCAAAAGAGTATGTTAGAGTGGCATTTGAGGTACGGCGGTGGGCGGTGGTAAAGTCGTTCAGAGAAGGGGCCTTGGCTGCACCAGAATTTGGAATTACACAGCTGAAGAGCCCCTTGGGCAAAATCGTGGATCTGAACAGATTCCAGCAGGGCAAGATCTGGGAGCCCATGGTTGCAGAGGAGTGTTCTCCGCCTGTTTCTCAGGGCAGAGCCATCCTGGGATCCTAAAACCCAATGTGGAAAGGAAGCCGGCCAAGCTTCTGAATTCTCTCCCCCAGCACCGCCCCCTCCCCTCACCCCCCGCTAGCAGCATCCCCCCAGATGGGCAGGAAGAGGGCAGCTTAAGTTATTCCCACAGCGCCCTGGAGTTCATCCACCTGGTTAGCCCATTTCATCACCTCCTCTTTCTAAACGGTGAGGGAACTGAGCTGGGAGAGGGGAAGTGACTTGCCCAAGGTTGCTCCCTCACCTCGGCTCCTCAGTTTCCTCATCTAGAAAATGGTAGAGAAGGTTAAAATGAGGTGTGTTCGGCACCCAGCACAATGCTTAGCATAGACCACAGTAAGCGACAATCCCTTCCTCACCCTGCCTCCATCTCCCCACACAGAGGTCAGTCTTTCAGGAAGTTTCTATGGAGCGCTGGCCCTGAGGCAGGAGAATAGAATCAAAGCAAAAAATAGTTCCAGGCTGCATCTGTGGCCAGTTGAAGACGTGACTTGTCAAAGGTCCCCCTAGCCTGCCCCTAGAGACAACCTCCTCCTTAGCAGCCTAGGCCCCTAAGGGGCAGGTGTGGCTCCCAGAACAATAGCGGGGTCTGGGCGAGCCCCAGGAGCCAAGACAAAGCAGAGTGAGGCTCCACTGCCGGCCTCCTCTACCACCAGCTGTGGCCCCGAGCCTGGCCACAGACCAGGGTCACAGCCGCCTGGTCCAGGAAGGTGCCGGGCATCCGACCCTCACACAGGAAGTACAGTCCGTGGACCCAAAGGAGGGACGGTGCACGTGCCTGAGGCTGTGCCTCTCCATCGCTACCTCCAGGGCAGCTCTTCCATCCAGAGCTTAGGAATAAGGCAGGGGTGCCAGTCAGAGCCAGGCCCGGTTTTGGGTCTCAGCTCCGCCCCCCACGAGCTGCATGACTGGGCAAATCCGTTTCCCCTCTCTGAGCTTCATTTTCCCCTTGTGTGAAATGAGTTGGCAATGCCCTTCGCCCCCAACACACAGGGTGCTGCAGCCCTGGGCACCGGCCCATGGCCCCACCTGCCCACACCTTCACCCCCAAGGAAGCTCAGGGCAGCAGAAGACTCGCCCATCTCTCTCCAGCCTCGAGGGCCACCCTCTCCCCACTGTCACTGGAGAACGAGGAAGAGCTATCCTTGCAAGTTTCCAGGGCAATTGGGCCACAGGGCATTTGGGTCGAGGGCTCGGAGGAGCCGCTGAGGTTTGCCAGCAAGAGTGGAAAACTACCACATCCCGTGGCAAGGCCTGCTGGGCCATCGCCAGAGGGCAACTGGCAGCGGTTGGCACCAGCCTCTCCCACCAGGATCCCGGGGGAGTCACGGAAAAGTTGAGAGAAGGGCTCTCAGGGGCAAAGTCTGCAAAACAAGGGTGGCTGTGAAGAGGAGCCGAGGGGAGGCTGTGAGCAGGGGAGGCTGTCCTGTTCTGGATTTGGGGGGAAACGCCTCAGTCTCCTCAGCTAGGGAGTGCAGGGCACAATAGCACCTACCTTTCAAGCTGGGAGGACTGCGGGCGTTAGCACGCATCCAGCTCTCAGCACAGTGCCTGGCACACAGTAAGAGCTACCTCAGTGCTTGTTAAACAAACTACATACAGGAAAACAAGGGAAGCCACCCCATCCCCCGTGGTGTCCCGTGTCCCTGACACAAAGCCCTCTGGCCGCGCCTGGATGCCCAGCCCAGTGGAGCGCGGCTGGCTTTGAAGTAGCCGCCCTCTGGGGAGGCCTGCTGTCAGCAGCTATTGTCCACCGGGTGTGGCCCACCCCAGCCCAGAGGTGGGAACTGGTCAGGGGCCTGTGCGCAGGAAGGGAGGAGCCGCGCTGGTTTTCTTCTTTCACCCCTTCGGGGTTTCCTGCCCTGCTCCCACCCTCCATTCCGCCTGCTTGTCCTTGGGACGTAGGGCTCTCTGCCTCAGGAGAAGAAAGTATGGGTGGCTGGGGAAACTGAGGCAGGAGTATGCCCACCGCCCTATGGGATCATCGGGAGAGTACTCCCAGCTCAGGTTTCTTGAGGGCTGACTGCATGCCAAGCGTTAGGCACTGTAAGCACTCTCACCGCCCTCTAGATACCTGGGAGGTAAGGCCCAGCTGCCCAGCTGGGCACAGGGGGTCCCAACCCCAGTCTGGGTGATACCAAGCTGACACCCTCAGCCACTTTCCCCCCCACCCCCGGAGGGAACCTCGGAGCTCACCTGGTCTGAGTGCGCCCCACTTCACAGGTGGGGCAGTGGAGCCAGGGAGGGATAGTAACTTGTCCCGCAGCGAGCCCGCCCCAAGCCCTTGACCTAACCCTAACCCTCCCCCGGGCCTTTGGGAGGATGGCCTGAACTGCCAGGCGTGGAGGCTTTCCACTGCTCTGCGTTGTCACCCGGAGGCAGGCTCTGGGGGCGCATCCACTCTGCCACTTAAGTGCTGCGTGACAAGCGATGGGCTGACTCTCTCTGGGCCTCAGTTTCCTCGCCTTCAGCGTGGGGCTAGTAATAAAACCTACCTCGAAGGGTTCGTGCAGGACCAACTGCATATAGAAGTTGCCACACTCGGAATAGTGCCAGGCATACAGTAAGCACTGCATAAATGCTGCCTGGTGGCACTGACCACGGACAGCTGAATCAGACAGGCCCTGAGCGTCCTTTTTGCCCTTTTCCAAAGCCCCTTTCTGGTTGTTTTTACACAAAAGAATGGTTGCTGCCTGAGAATTCAGCTTCATGGGGGGTTCCTGTGCCAGCCGGGCGAGGCCGGGGGCTCTGTCACCCTCTGTCAGTGTCTGTTACCTTCCTGGACCCCAGCACCAGGACACATTCGTCCTGTCCTCAGTCTTAGTTTCCTCACCTGTAAAACGGGTGCATTGGCTGTGTGGTGGTTCCTCCCTTGTCTCTAGGCCCCCAAGGCCCTCGGAGGGAGCTGGGGGCTCCGTGACCCAATCTTAGGGCTCTGAGTGCAGATCCTGAGCTCTGCAGATGACCCGAGTGAGTCTCTGAGCCCTGCTGAGCCTCAGTTCCCCCCGTCAACAGGTAGCCGGTGTATCAATTTGGGGGGCATGGTGAGCATGATGTGGCCTTGTGCTTGGGGAGTCCTAGCTCAGCCAATGCCCTGCTGGAAATGTCAGGCTTTCACTGTCCATGCAGCCACACACCTTTGAGCTCCTTCCCGGCATAAACGCTGCCTGGAGTCTCCTCACCGTGAGGAAAAAGATGGGGAAATCTGCTAGAAGCGAGGCCACAGGATGTTTGGAGACCAGTGCTCTCGGGACAGGAGAAGGAGAGAAAGTAGGGCAGGCCCTTGGGGATGGGTCATCTCTGGTGCACACCTTGCATCGACTGGGCCTGTCTGGGATGTGCAGTGTGACTCGGGGAAGGCTGTGGGCCTCCCGTATCTCCAAGGAAGTGGAGGGCCTTCCCCATCCTCGCTGAGGGGCCTTAGAGGCCTCGTTTCCTTCCCAGGGGTTCCCTTGTGCTTCCTGCAAAATCACAACGTTAATAACAGGCCCCATTTCTCGAGGACCCAAGTGCCAGGCACTCTTGGTTATGCCAGAAGCGTCATCCTATTGAATCCTCGCCTCCCCTCTTGGTGATGATCTTCTGTTTCTCTTATCTCCATTTGACACATGAGGTAACAGGCCCAGAGAGGTTAAGCACGATGCCCAAGGTCACATGGCAAGTGAGGGGAGAGAGCTGGATTTGAACCCGCACTTCTCTGATTCTTAACCATGAGTCATACTAATAGTTGTAAATGTTAGCTAATATGAACCAATTGCCACGTGCCAACCACTGGGCTAAGCCTTTTTCGTACACACTTGATCGTTTACTCTTATTTTGCATTTTCTATCTCTACCCTCTTCGAATGTGAGGGCAGGGATTTGTTCTCTGTCTTGTCCACCACTCTGTTTCCAAATATAATTATTTAGTCAACATTTATAGGATTTTTTTTTAATAGACTCTCAGTAAATCTATGAGGCAAGTCCCTAACACCCAGGTTACAGGTGAGGCATCTGTGGCCCAGAGAGGTTAAGCAATGTGCCCAAGGTCACACAGCAAATGAAATGACAAGCGTGGCCACAGAATCCCTACCTCGGAAAAGATGCTCTAATTTAACAGCGGCAGGAGGTGCCCCAGGCCCCCCCTGAACCCCTCCTTTCCCTGCAGGTTGTCTACTTCACGGCCACTTTCCCGTTTGCTATGCTGCTGGTGCTGCTGGTTCGTGGGCTGACGCTGCCTGGGGCAGGCGCGGGCATCAAGTTCTACCTGTACCCTGATATCAGTCGCCTCAAGGACCCACAGGTACTGCAGGGCAGCCCGTCCTCCCTCCTTCCCGGGCCGTGGTGCTGGGTGCACAAATCTAGCCAAGCCATCACCCCCTAGTACTTTTCCACTGGGCGGGGGCAGGTAGTTCACAGCGCTCGTGGGCTTTTCCAGCTGTGTGTGTATCTTTGTCGAGGACTCCTGAGGCAGGCCAATTATAGAGTCTTCTTCAGGCGCTGCGCCAGGGAGGAGAGAGAAGTCTTTCTGAGCTAGTCTCTCCTTGGACCTGGCCTCCGCCTACACCAGCCAAGAGGGCTGCCTGGTGGGGGTGGGAGAGCTGCTGGCTTCCGTGGCCAAGGACGGAATTCAGAGTTGGTGACCTCTTAGAAACCTGAGGGATCAGTACTGAATGTTCACCTCTTGGCACTCAGCCACGTGACCACAGCGGGGTTGGAGAAAACCCTGGGAGATTTTATGGGCCTGTTGAAGGATCTTTTTGTCCCCAGGATCCTCAGCCTTCAGGTTGCTGCTCTGGGCCTCTTCCCCACTCTCTTCTCGCCCTGGGAGGTAGATGGGAGGGAGGTGGCCAGCATCAGAGGACAGCGTGGAAGGCAGCTTTGAGGCCATAAGGAAAACTGCCCAATGAGGGTTCTGGAGAGCAGCTTTGCCTGCATTAACCATTAGGGGATTCTTCTCCATTCCAACTCAGGGGCCCCAGACAATAACAATTACAGTAATGACGGCAGACTTGACTTACCAGGCTGCCACTGGTACTGTTCTTTGAACCTGCAAAATAGCTCTGTGGGGAGGGCCATGGAGCCCATTTTACAGATATGCAAACTGAGGCTTCGTGATTCCATGGTTGGGATCCAGATCCATCTATTTTACAAGCCCAGTTTCTTCAACTTCTGGGGTTCCTTGCAGCTCAGTGTTGTCTTAAAAGGCACCTTGGATTTCAGCACAGAGACTCCAGTTGCAGTTGAGAATCTGCACATTTTCAGGTGCAGTCCTCAGTGACCAGGTGGCCAGGGACCCACAGTGCCTCCTCCAGGAGGACAGGTCTAATGGCTCTTTCTCTCTGTCCTTGCCACCCATCCCCTTAACCCTCATAGGTATGGATTGATGCTGGGACCCAGATATTCTTCTCCTATGCCATCTGCCTGGGAGCCATGACCTCACTGGGGAGCTACAACAAGTACAAGTACAACTCGTACAGGCAAGTGTTGTGCCAGCGGGCCTGGTGGATCTTAGAAATGATGATGATGTTTAAAGAAAAAAGAGAAGTAGGGAGCGTGGCTTCCTTGTGTTGTGAATTAACTTGCTCCCTGACATATGTGTAACTTAGGGACTGTATGCTGCTGGGATGCCTGAACAGTGGTACCAGTTTTGTGTCTGGCTTCGCAATTTTTTCCATCCTGGGCTTCATGGCACAAGAGCAAGGGGTGGACATTGCTGATGTGGCTGAGTCAGGTATGGTGGTATCGGTGGCAGTGGTGGTGGGCACTGCCACCTAGTGTGTAAGCTGAGTACTGCAGGCATGAAGCCAGACCCCAGGGGCTTTGGAGGGGGGGGACGAGCCTGGTTTCCAAAACGGACCCCCCCCCCCACCAAGATGTCCCCCAAGTACCAAAGAGTACAAAAGCTAAATTTTAAACACGTTCATTGCGATTTGGCCCAAGGGGTGGTAGAAACATGGGTTTGGTTACATTGGGAAATATTTAGCTACTTCCGTGTGCTCTTCTCCCCTCCCCTTCCTTCCCCAGCAAACTCCTGGTTTCCGAAACAGAAACCACTTTCCTAACTCAGGCCCAAGTCAGCCACCGATCGATCGGCATTCCATCATCACCTTCTCAGCTTTGGTTTCTGTATTTTGCACTTTGCTCCCAGCGCGCTCCCTCTAAGCAAACCCGTTCATTCATTTCACTGATGTTTATTGATTTATTGAGTCTCTACTCTGTGTCAGGCACCACCGTAGGCTTGGGGTGGGGAGAGACACCGGGCGTGGCAGGCCGCCCTCTGGGACAGGACAGATCTGATTTGGGGGGGTGTTGTGGGGACACTGTCACCCTCTGGGCTCCCCAGGACACTCCCCTAGAAACACAGACTTCACAGCCTGGGGTCTTAAGCTGGGATCCTGGGGCTCCAGCAGGACAGTGTGGGAATCTGAGAATCATGAGGTCCTCAGTTGCTAGAATCCTAGAGTCTCAGAACCACTGTATCTCAGGTGCCTAAGTTCTAGGCCTGGCCATGATGCACTAAGTCCTGGACCTGCAGCTTTAAAACTGCAGTGGCTTAGGCTCCCAGGATCCTCAAGTCCACCTCTCTGGCTTCTCTGCCCTTGTCCAGTCCTGCCCAATCTACTGGAAAGGTGGCCATCCATGGCCCGCAAGGTTTTGTTATTTTACACACCTCCCTCTGCTCTGCTCGATCTCCTCATTTCTCATGACCTCAGTGGGGCCTCTTGGAGGCTGGCGGGGGCCCTGGGCTGAGGTGCCTCAAGCCCTGAGGAGAGTGTAAGGTTCTGACACCAGGGACCACCACAGACCAGGGGCAGGCACAGCTGGAGTGTCACCCTTGCCCGTAGGACACAAATTGTGGAGGGCGGGGGGGGGGAGTCAAGGGTACCTCAGCGTTGTGCAGTCAGATGTCTGCTGCACAGATGAGACCAACAGCCTGAGAGCCTTGGGTTCATCAGGGTTAGAGCTGAGGTCTCTAGGACAGGACCCCTCTGATATGAGAGTGTCCTTCCTCCCCGCTCCCCCCCCCCACACACACACATGTGACAACCTCTGCCCCTTCCTGTATAAGAATATCTCTGGGCTCCCCTGGCCTCTCTGAGCCCCTGGGCCCTGCTTTCCTCCTCACTTGCAAAGATGCTGCCCTGCCCCATCCTCACACCCACACGTGCAGGCCAGTGTATTTCTCCACTGACCCCGGCTCCAAATCAGACCTTCAGCCATCATTTTCCTGCCCTGAGAAGCCCCAAGGCAGGCCCGAGACAATGCAGAAATATCCACACCACCTGTGAGCTGACAGAGTGGTGAAGGGAGGTATCCACCTCCTTCACAGACGGCTTTTCTCCCCGGTCAAGGCTTGCAAACCGATTCCGATGGGTTGGGAATGGCCAGGAGCACGGAGTGCACTTGGTGGTGGGAGAGACGTATCGATACGTAAGACAGCTCTGTGGGCAGCTGGGCACTCTGATGTGTGTGCATACCCTGTCGACCCAAGTTGTGTCTTCCTCCCGTCCACTTCCAAGACATTGGCGCTTATTCCCCACGGTGATGTCTGAACACCAAGGCGATTATTTCTCTAATAAGCTTTTAACAAGCACCATATTGAGCCAAGTACATTTGAACGAGATCATTATTTAGCCGGAGTGCAAATGAAATGTAGAGAGGCGCGTTCTCCGCCAACAGGGGCCTGCAGAGCGCGCGGCCGCCGTCTCTCACAGGGACATCTCTCTCTAGAGTTCACCGTGCGCTTTAGAGCGGCGCCCGGACCGCTCCCAGAGGCTGGCTTGAGAAAGGCAAAACTGAAATACAGAAACGAGTGCGTTGAGAACCTTCACAGGCCCCGGAGGGTTGGGGGACGAGTGGGGTGGTCCCATTTTACATCTGTCTCAAAGTGGGCTGGACTTGACTCCTCATGCAGAGCTGACGTGTTGGGGGGCCCAGGGCCCCAGCCTAGGTGGGAGCGTGGCTTCCTGGTCCAACTTGGGCTTTGGGGTTAGTACGAGCACCCTTTCCACCATTTCTTAGGTGCTAGTTTTCTAGGCGCCTGAGGACGCTCGGTCAGCATCGGGTTTTCCTCGAGTTGAGTGGACTCCGCATTGTAAAAGGGCTCGCCCTTGAACGCCACATTTGTGTTTAATGCTGTGGGATGTGGTTTCTGGCTCCAATTTGTTTCAAAGTTTTTTTTCCCATTCTTAAACCATTCATGTGGTTCTGATATCTGCTTAAATATCCCGCCTCCAGCCCTCTTTTGTTGTTTCACGTCTCTTTTCTTGACTTTTTTTTTTAGTTGTGGATTTTACTTTTTCTCCCGTCTCGTGGACCCACAGGTCTCAGTTACAACCCAGTTCCTCCCCATGCATCTTCTCTCAGGTCGGCTGGAGACGGAGACATTTCTCACGTCTTCAGAACGTGTCCAGTCATAAAGGCACCCCCTGAGCTGATGGGGCTCCTGTCCCAAGCCCTGCCACCAGATTCCGTCGGGGTCCCCTCTGTAGAAACCGGAAGCCCTTTGCTAGGGGAACAGTGTCAGCATCTGAGAATCTGAACATGGGAAGGCTCAGATGGGAGCCATTTATGTAACCTGCCCTCACTTCTCAGGGAGGGAACCTGAGGCCCTGAGAGGGCCTGGGTGATGTAAAGAGCAGCTGGAGGAGCCATTGGGATGAGGACTTGAATACAGGCCGGGGGTCTCCCAGGCCTAGCGGCCTGCCCCACGCACCCCTCCCTTCAGCGTTGGGCCTTGGCTCTGACGTTGCTCAGGTGGGTGCACAGAGACACCCCTGAGGAGACCTTGGCCCTGCAGGGCATGGTTCTCTGTTCTTTTTCCTTTCCACTCACGCAGTGTTTTAGTAGAAACCTTTTCTTTGCAGACGGGGATTTGGGAGTCAGGTACCCAGGACTTCTCCCCTTGCTTCCTTCCAGCACATGTTGGCATGGTTGCTCTGGTTGGGGGAGGGCGAACCTTTTCCAAGCTGGCAGAGCGAGTCCAGGCTCAGCCCCGTTTCCCACCCAAATAGCCAGTGTCTGCCCGGATGCTGGTGTGTGAGGAGGCCCCTGGTGCTGCCGCTTAGGAGACAGATGCTAAAACAGGGCCCTGCCTGCGCGCCCGTGGGTCCCACCCAAAGCGAGACAGGCCTGGTCTCTCTCCCAGGCAGGCCCTCAGGCCCGGCTCCTCCCTGCGTTTGGGTTTGGGAGACCCGCCTTAGACCAACGTGTCTTTGTATGCGCTCTGGTGCTGCCTGTCTCGGTGCTGATGTGTTCCCCCTCTGCCCCTCCCCATCTTCTCTTCCCTTTAGGTCCCGGCCTGGCCTTCATTGCCTACCCAAAAGCTGTGACTATGATGCCGCTGCCCACTTTTTGGTCCATTCTCTTTTTTATTATGCTTCTCTTGCTTGGACTGGATAGCCAGGTATGTACCGATGGAGGGGCTGGCCCCAGGGCGGGACTACCCAGGGGGAACCTGGTTCTGGAAAAGCCTCCTTTGCCATGTGTGAGGCGGTTACACCCTTTCCACCCTCACATCAGACCTGCCACCCCTTCGGCTAGCAAGGGTTCCTCTGGGAACCCGGAGTGGGAAAGTCCTCAGGGCCGCGGAAGCAGGACATCTGCCCCAAAGCTCAAGTTTTTGACCTCAGCAAGGGGAAATGGACAACCAAGGGTGTGGTTAAACAAAGCCATAGGTGGGAACTAGAAGGGCAAGGCCGGCACAGAAACGGTGTGCTCCCGTGGAGTGGCTGGGCAGGGCGGGGCCCAGGGTAGATAAGGCACAAAGGCAATAAAGGGAAGGGGCAAGTGTCTCTGCTTAGAGCACAGGTGGTCCCTGCCCGGCCAGCGTTGAGGGCCCTGAGTGGGGCTGGGGAAGCTCACCACACCCTTCTGTGCTTCCTGAAGCACAGGAGTCAGGGAGCTGGTCCCACAGTGAGACCCTGGTCCTCCGGTGCCTCCTGAACAGCCGAGCATGGGGAGCCTCCCTCAAACCACCCCGTCCTGAGGCAGAACTGCACCAAGGCTGCTTCCTGCGCTTCCTAACCCCCACAGCCCATCCCTCCAGGGCTCAGGCCTCCACCTAGTGCTCAGTGAGCACCAGCCAGGGGCTGCATCACAGTTCTAAGCCCCCCAAGCTGCTGTGTGATGTTGGGCACATTTCCTCCTCCTCTGAGCCTCACTTTCCTCCTCTGGTAAATGGGTGTGATTGTATCTCCATTGCCTTGTATGAAGCACCAGGTACAATGCCTGGTGCAGAGCAGTCAGTGGTGCTGGGAGGATGAATAACATGAGCTCTTGGTCACCTGTCCCTGGAGATATGTGTATTTTCACAGGGGTCTTCTCAAGAGTATAGGTGTGACTCCGGAAGTGGGAAGCTGTGGTGTGCGGGGCAGGCTGGTCCTGTGCCCAGGCTAGTTAGAATCTTGCATGTGGTGTCTGCCACCCAGGGGCCAGCACCTGAGGGCAGTCACGGGCAGCAGGCATTTTGCAGCCTCCTGTGTGGTCTGGGGGTCTGGCTGCCTCATGAAGGTTGTTGGTCATCTGAGACCCAGTGAGAGGTGGGGTGTGGCCAGTTCAGGAGAGGGCATTGCCGCCCACCCCGAGGGCAGCAGCACAAAGCCAGTGCCCAGGGCAGGTCCCCGGAAACTCAGAGGAAAGTCTTAGAAGGTCCCGCAGAGCAGAGGAGGCGGTCCACCAGCAAGGTCAAGAACAGAGCCAAGGATTTGGCAGACAAGGGAGCAAGATTAGCAGAAAAGACAGAATGAAAACATTTGGGGGATTGAAAACAAAATGCTCCCACAGTTGTTGATGGGCTTGAGCTGTGTAAACAGCAGGAGGGCCCCATTAATCATCCCTAGTTAATGAGTTTGGCCTTCAGAGGCCCCAAGCAAATGGCTTTTATAACTTTTTCCAGACCTCTGAGTGAAAGCAAAAAACAAAAATAGAGAGAGGTTAATAAATGATGAGGCCTGACATCGCCATGGGCCCAAAATAGGCCTCTTGGGCTACGGAAACTGCTTCCTGAGCAAGCAGAGGTGGTTTTATTCATTAGATTTTCTCTGAGCTCGCCCCACCGTGGCCGAGGCACTAAGGGACCCTCAGCGAGCTCTCGAAGCCAGCCTCAGAGGGAGGCTTACAGCGTGGAGCTCTGCTGAGAGCCCTTACATGACCTGCCTGCTGTACCAGCAAGGAACGTGGTGGGCTTATGCCTGGGGAGCTGGGTGGGGCTGGTGTCTCCAGTCCAGTGGCGTAGGTTGGCACCCCTCCTTTGCACCATGCACTCTGTGAACTCGGGGACATGACCACCTCACACACCACCAGCACTGACAGGGTCAGAGCACTGCCCTTTGAGGTGCTCACACGGGCCAGGCTTCATGCCAGGCTTTCTGTGTGCATGTGTGTGTGGTAAAATACACAGAACATAAAATTGCTCATCTTCACCATTTTGAAGTGTGCAGTTCAGTGGCATTAAGTACATTCACATTGGGCAACCATCACCATCATCCATCTCCAGAATTTTTTTTGTCTCCCCGACTGAACTTCTGTTCTCATTAAACACTCACTCCCCACCCTCCCTTTCCCCAGTCTGGCTCCCCTGCCCCACCTCCTACATTAGCTCCTTAATCTGCACAAGTTCTGAATCCAGGAAAACTGAGGTGTAGAGAGATGAGGGCTCCTCCGGAGGCCACGCTCAGCTGGTTAATGGGTGGAGCCATGACTTGACCCTGGGCTGCCTGTTCCCAGACCTGCTAGTTTGTCCCTCTTGCCTTCCCTTTGAGTTCTCCGCAAGTAGCTGCCACCCCTGGAAGCGCAGAGACCCACAGGCCACCTTAGTGGGGCCTCTCGCTGATGGAGGAGCTAGACGCTTGCTCATTACAGGAAACGCTCTCTCAGAACTTCTAGCATTTGGGGGCCACTCTTTGGCTTAGGAGCCATCGTACTGCTGAGCGTGTCTTGGTGAGAGGAGTAGGGACGTCGCCCACATGGAGGCAGGAGCCTGTGGATGTCTGGTCTGCCCGAGGGGACACAGTTTGTGAACAAACATCGCAAGACGAGGGCCGGACCCCCTGTCCCAGGAGTCCCCCCTCTCAGGCCCTGATATGTGTTAAAACCAGTTCATCACCCCATTGCCAGTTCACTCTCATGAGTTCACATCTGTCTCAGCATCCCTGCTGAGCAGGCAAGGCCCTCCCATTTTACAGAGGGAGAAACTGAGGCTTGGAGAAGTCAGGGTCACATAGCGATTAAGTGTGTGAAGGGGCTGGTGGGGAGGGAGTGAGGAGACGGTGTTCTCCTGCAACGCAGGCCACTTGGAAAAGAGGGGCTTGTGCAAGTCTTGGCCCTGACTCCCATGATCTTCCCATCTGTAATTTCCCATCTCAAAAAAAAGAGCGAATCTTTGTTTTTAAATTCCTACCGAGGCTAACATTTGAGCTGCAGGTTTGCTATTATTCGGTAGTAATTTAGGTTCAAAGCCCCTTCAGCAGACACATCAATGAGAGGTCGAAAAATCAGCGCCTTGTATTTGGGCTCCTTTCAAGAGCCTCTTGGTCCTCTTTTCCCTGAATCCCTGGCAACAAAGAGGCATTTATTTCTCCTGCCCCTTCAGCACATGAAAGGGACCTGTTCCTTTTTGTATTCCCTGCTCCTCCGCCGTGCGTCCCAGAGGAGTACGTGGTTGGGTTCCTCTTGTAGGAACATTCCTTCCCAGCAGCCTCTCCCAGATGAAAGGACAGAACTTAAAGGACTCAGATGGGCCTCAGAGGGTGTGTCGGTGGGAAGGGCAGTTTGTCTATGGCCATCAAATGTAAAACGAGGCTAGAAGCCCTTTCATCCTGGAGTTTTACTTGTGCACATGAGCCTCAAGAGAGGTGGAGGGAAGAGTCCTTGCCCAGGTCAGTAGCTGCAGAGGCTGGAAGCCACCTGTTGGCACTGGTTAGGTCTCTGACGACATGTGTCCACGGGATGGAGTTTTAAGCTGCCATTTAAAACACAAGGCAGCTCTCCATGTAATGCTATGGGTCTCCAAGATAAATTATTAGGTGCAAAGATGGGAAGATTTAGAAAGATTGAGACTCATTCTAGAACATTACCACACATTTGGGATCCCAGGGATGGGGTCCCAGAGTCCAACGAGCCCTGGCGTCATGACTGCGTTGAGCTCACACACGTGGGCAAGTAGGTGGGCACGCACACATGCAACATTCTCTGTGGGCTTACGATCCCCAAAGAGTTAAAAACCACCATGTGAATCTGATGGGGGAAACTGAGGCCCAGACTGGCCCTGCGTTACCCAACCATTTGAGCAACCCCAGGTGCCTGGCCCAGCTGGGCACTCGAGGCCTGGAAATGAGGGGGCACTGCCCTTGGCTTCAGAGAGGACCAAGACCAAAGTGTGTGGAGGTTGTCTTGTTGACACACTTATGCCTACACACGTGCCAGGGCAGCGGTCAGCACTGGCCTCCAAGGAGCGGTCATTCTTGAGCTGAGTCTTGACTGATGAGGGAAAGGCGTGCTGGTGGCAGGACGAGCCTCGCTCAGCAGAGGTGCGAGCTGTGGAATACGGGGAGGACTGTGCATGGGCCATCGCAGCCTGACCACAGGCCGAGCCCCAAGGCCGTTCACACGCTTGGACTTGACCCCACCGGCTGACTGCGGTGCCGCGCTCCTCTCTCCAAGCACAGGGAGGTGCTGGACATCGGCCGCTCAACCTCTCTCTTTTCCTCTCCAGTTTGTTGAAGTTGAAGGACAGATCACATCCTTGGTTGATCTTTACCCATCCTTCCTAAGGAAGGGTTTCCGTCGGGAAATCTTCATCGCCTTGATATGTAGCATCAGCTACCTGCTGGGGCTGACGATGGTGACGGAGGTAGGTGGCTCTCTCACTTGGCACGAAGGGCCTCCCCTCATAGGGATCTTGGTCCCCCAAGAGCTCAGCAGTTTGAGGCCATACCACCTCCCTGGCCCCCCAACAGCTGGATGAGTGACCAGGATGGGCAATTTAGCCCCACCCAACCCAGGGGTCCTGCCCTGCCCAGGGGCCCACACTGTGGAGGAGAGTCCAGCAGTGGACCCAATCTCCCCCCTTTCTCCTATTAGCTTGGCAGCCCTGCTGCTCTCTGTCTTCCTCATCCTGGAAGGCCTGGGGTGGGGGGGCCTCAGCTAAAATCCATGTTAACAACAGTTCTGCTCACCCTGACTGTGCAGCGCCCTTCTCAGGCCTGGGGGCAGGTGGCTCTCCAGGGTAAACACTGTAAGCAGTGCTGACCGAGGCCGGAGGGTGCGCTGTTCAGAGAATGGGCAGGGTCCAGAGAGGATCTGTTTAAAGTGGGACAAAGAAGCAAGAGAGGAAAGGAGAGGAGTGTCTGAGGCAGCAGTGGATCGGCACATCTAGCAAGAGGTGGGCCAGGGAAGAAAAGATTCTTGTACTAAATAACGTAGGCGTGTGAGCTGAGCATAGGCCAGGGCATGCTCTCTCCAGTCTCTCTCCCCACCCACCTCCCCATATCCTCCTGCAAAGGGTTGCATTGGCCCCCAAACTCAATTCAGGGTTTCCCATCACCACTTTTCCTTACTGGAAGCAAAAGTAAATGTATTTTTCTAGAAGTATCTGTAAGAAACCTCCCCCTCAAAAGGTAGATCACAAGTCCATACACTGAGCAGCTGGACGTTCCTCAAGTCTCCTGTTGGCCATGGCTGGTTTTAAGTACCTCCTTTGGGAGCAGGCTTCAGGGAACTTGTCATTTTTTGCTAAGGAAGACGTTGCTTTGCTGTACTTTATCCGTGTGTGTGCGTGTGTGCGTGTGTGTGTGTGTGTGTGTGTGTGTGTGTGAGATTAAATTTGTCAAACATGAAGTGGAGTATCTTTATACACAGGTACTCTGTTATTATAGTCTTTGCCAATTTTTCTTTTGGGTATTATATTTTCTTTTACATTTTCTTATTGATATACCAGAGCTTTTCATATATTAAGGGAATTAGAAACCAAATCAAACTTCTGTTTTTTTCTTCACAGGGTGGCATGTATGTGTTTCAACTCTTTGACTACTATGCAGCTAGCGGTGTATGCCTCTTGTGGGTTGCATTCTTTGAATGTTTCGTTGTTGCCTGGATATATGGTGAGTACCGGATTTTGCATATCCTCTCTCACGTCTCTCCTTTGGGCCTCACTATTTAGAAGCTTCGGAAACAGAATTCTAAGGGGAATGCATTCTGAGTTGAACATGAAGGCCTTTCCTGCCCTGGACTTTTCATCTGAAGATGGTCCCTTCCCTATACACATAAATATTGTTGTAGCCACACTACAGATTCTCCCTGTGCTAAAGGTGCAAGGTGTGACTGTATGTTTTGACAAACACATGACTTGGCTATGCAGGGGGTCTATCTGTGATAACTCTGGGGCCCGGAATGGTCCACTAGACCTCCTTGAGACCTTGGATTGGTCAAAGCAGGTTTTGAGTGGGATATGCCTGAGGTGGCCAAAAAATACAGGATGCCCAGTTACTTTTGAAGTAATTTCAGATAAACATCTGCTGTCCATGGGTCTATGTGCTGGGACCAGGATCAGGCCCCAGAGGCCCCGCATGGCACTAAGCCCTTGCTCTGCTGCTCCCTGGGTGGATGCTGGCATGGCATTGGGCACCGTGTCACCATCTGTCTACCTGTCTCTTGCAGGCGGTGATAACTTGTATGACGGCATTGAGGACATGATCGGCTACCGGCCTGGGCCATGGATGAAGTACAGCTGGGCCGTGGTCACTCCAGTTCTCTGTGTTGTGAGTTTCCTCTGGCCTCGCTGTGGGGAGTAGCCTTTTCTCACCTGCTGAACTGTTTTGCATTCACATCTGCTGAGCCCTGTCCTGGAACAAGCCTAGCGACAGCCCCACCCGGAAGGAGGTGGGGCAGGCTGCTCGGAAGGTTATCTTGAGATGAGTTTTGAAGGATGAGTAGGAGCTTGTCAGGAAGAGAAGATGGGGAAGGGGGTTCCTGGCAAAGGAACCAGCCCATGCAAAAGCAAAGGGTTCTCAGAGAGGAAGACATATCGGGGCGCATCGAGGAACTCAGGGATCCGTGAGAGAGCACGTCATCTTTCCCCAAACCCTGCCAGAGCTCGCGAGCCCACTTCCAGCCCCTGGTTACGTTAAGCAGCCATTGGATGTCCCAGGGAGAGGTCACAGACATGGGAATGGGGTGCTCCTGTGGCAGGTACAGGTCCCAGGCTGGTACAAAGCTTCCTGGCGTTGGGAGAGCCCAGACAGCCACCTCCTGGTACTCCCCTATCTGTCCCAGCCCCACACAGAAGGACAGGAACAACAGCAGGTGCCCAATGGAAGCATCTGCTGCCTAATGCTTCCTCCCCCGCCCCCCCATCATCAATTCTAATGTAGATGGATTTGCTTTCCCGTCAAACACACCATTAGATCTCGAGGATAAGTCATTTTCACGTTGCGGGTCATCCAGGACAACCTGGGGTAGACTCGGGGGCTGCCATTCTGACCAGAGCAGGAGCCGTGGGCCCATCCAGCCCAGCCGTTTGTGGAACAGGGGACCTCTGCACAGGCTTCGGGGCTCAGAGCTGACCCCACCTTATCCATCCCACTGTTCATGGACCCCGATGGCCACCGGTCATTTGTTGGGCTGAAAGCTGGGCTTGGACACCCATGTGGGCAAGGCCCAGGTCCACACTTTGTTCTGGGGTCTGGGTCTGGGTCTCAGAGATGGAGATGGGTTGGGAGGGGTGGAAAGACTTTCACCCACGCAGCTGTCATTTATTGTGCACCTGCTGTGTGCACCTGGAACTTCACCAAGTGCTAGAGAAACGGGAACAACACACATACCCCCGCCCTCACTGACTCAGGCTGGGTGAGCGCGGCGTGTGCCGAAGAAGTGATTGCACTTCTTGAAACTCCTGGCACCGCTTGTTAAGATCCCACGTGCTCTCTGGGAAGGAAAAGCATGGGTGCCTGGCTGAGACGGGGCAGGGCCTGGGCAGGTGAGGCAGGAGCATGGGAGCTAGATCAGCAGCAGGAAGAGGAGGTGAGGGAAAAGGAGGTCCAGTCAGAGGGACCAGCCTGGCCTCAGGGCCTGAGGCTGAGGAGCGGGAAGGGGTCCAGGGTGGCTGGACTGTAGACGTAGAGGAAGGGGTGGGGGCAGGTGAGAGGGAAGGGGCGCAGCTCCTGGTGGCTCCTACCAGGCTGAGGAGCTAGGACCACGTCCTGAAGGCACAGGGCAGCCGCAGAGGGTTTTGAGGTGCCCAGGGCAGTGAGGTGTGACGTGGTCAGAATTGACTGGGGGAGGTCCTTCGGCTGCAGACTGGAGGAGGAGGATGTGAGGCCCCTGGGGTGGGACCTGCCTTGGTCCCAGAAGCCACCCACCTCCCAATGGCCAGGACCCCCCTGACTGTCCCCATCTTTCCACAGGGATGTTTCATTTTCTCTCTCGTCAAGTACATACCCCTGACCTACAACAAAGTGTACGTGTACCCCACCTGGGCCATCGGGCTGGGCTGGTGTCTGGCCCTGTCCTCCATGGTGTGTGTCCCCTTGGTCATGGTCATCCGCCTCTGCCAGACGGAAGGGCCGTTCCTCGTGGTGAGCACTCGGGGCCCATCTGAGGGGAGTGGGGGGGGCGGGGGGAGGCTGAAGGCCAGCCTGCTGGTAATCTGCTGTGTAACCTTGGACACGCCATTTCCCCTGAGTCCTGCACCCCTACCTGCCCTATGGAGGGGTGGGGATTGTGGGCAGAGGGTGCATGGCGGTGGGGGGAGGGGGGACTGGAACAAAGTACAGTTCACATGGGAGGAGCTCTGTGGGGACATTCAGAGCAGGGCTGGAGCAGGAGGAGGAATTTGCCACGCAGAGAATTCGAGAAGGGAGGGTATGGGACACGGTGCAAGGAGGCGACCGCCCTTGGGCCGCAGTGGCACGCTCTGGGGGGTGGGTGATGAGGCTGGAGAGGTGGCAGCTGCTTTGGACGCCAAGCTCAGAGCTTTGGCTTTATCTTGGGAGCAGTGGGGGCTGCATTTCTGAAGCCCTGAGAGAGGAGCCAGGAGCCAGGGAGGGAGCCCAGCCCACCCTGATCCAAGAAGCCACCCACCTGTCTGCTGCCGACCTCAGAGGCCACCTCTGTCCCAGTGGAACCTGCAGCTCTCAGGCCTCTGTGCCTGCCAGTCTCCTCAC